CTGGCAAGTAAGTACCTGTTTGTGTTTCCTGCTCCCTGTCCTCAAATCTGGAGGTTCTAATATGAACCACAGAAAGACTTCCTTCTCTGGAGGAGGGAATTCTGCAGAGAAGGCTCTGATCCTATCCCCAGCTAGATAAGGGAACACAGAACAACACCCTGTCCTACAGGTTTGGAAAGGCAAGGGACTCATTTTATGGCATTCCCTGGAGCAGGGGTTGGCAACCCGTGGCTCCGGAGCCGCATGTGGCTCTTGAACCCCTCTGCTGCGGCTCTGTCGCCCAAAACATGCGCTGGCACAGCCACTGATCTGCTCAAAGCTCCACTCCAAACATGCTAGCTAGTTAAGTAAATCAGCTAGTTAAGTAAATTGCTACATTCCTCTGCTAAACAAGCTTCCAGCAGGCTCTCATGTTACAGGAAACCTGCTGAAAGGATTCTCTTTGTCCCAATGTAATGTTAAAAGCTGAATTGGGACCTGTCACAATTCACAGCACTTGACAGTTTATCTGCTAATCAGTCACTAAACACACCTATATCTCCGGCACAGACCCCCCCATCTGTGGACCTGGATTTACTGAGCTCCCCCCCACCCCAGCCCAACCATGGATAAATCGAAGAAAAGAAATGTTTCTGAAGAAAACCGAACGTTTAATGGTACGTGGGTAGATTCATTTGCTTTTACTGCTGACGAACTTATGGGGTTTGCTGTTTAATGCATGCAGCCCTTTAGCACTGACTTTAACTCTGCAGGAAGCTGTTCTCCTATTCAAAATATATGAAAGGAGTCCTACTAGTTTATAATGTAAGATTTAAAATAACAGTTTTTAGTGACTGAACAAGAGCTGCAGCTAAATCATAATGAAGATATACATAGCATCAAGGTAAAAAACGATATATGCGGTGTTATTTTCATTTTAGATGTCAAAAGGCTGTTGTGGCTCCTGGTGTTTTCTTTTGTGTGGGAAACGGGTCCAAATGGCTCTTTGAGTGTTAAAGGTTGCCGACCCCTGCTAGAGCCATGGTTCTCAAGCTATGGTCCATGAACCACTAGTGGTCTATAAGCTCTGCTCAGATGGTTTCCAGGACTACCTGTAATATCCTGCACTAGCTTGTTTACTTTCTGACAACAGCAACTGAGCCCTTTTGACTGGGTCCAAATTAACAAACAGGTTAACAAGGCCCCGGCCCAAGTGCCATGATTTTCATTATAAGGCGCCAGTTTACTGATGCCAATGCTGAAGAAAAACATGGTAATACAATATGGGTTGTTGGTAGAAGAAAGCAAACAAATGTATTAACTGATTCCTCAAGAACCATAGCAAGATCCAGGTGGGAGGACCTGCAGGGGAGACATCAAAGGTGGATGGGAGGGCAGTATCCTCAGCCAGGGGAGATGTAGGAAAAGGCACAGAAAGCTCCCTCTAAAGTCAGGCAAGCTCTGTTTGTTTTGAATTTGAATCCATTTTGGGGGTAATGCTGGCATTGGAAGCAGGAGACATGACAAAAGGCAGCTCAGACATACTCCCAGCAGCTTCAAAGGACTCCCTTTCTTGCATATTGCAATTCCCCCCCTCCCAAACTGCAGGGGAACATGACAAAAAACCGCATGCTTTCCTGCACTAGAAAACAGAGTCTATCGGAAAGTGCGCTTTAACTTGCAGAATCACAATGCACCATGATGGAGCTAGGGTGCCTTTAGTTTCCTTGTTAATGTGATGTTCCCTAAAAGGCCACTGCTGCCTTAATGCCTCCCAATCAAAGGCAACAATGCCACTTAAGGACAGGCCCCTTAATCCTGAAACCAAGATATTAAACCTGCTTGAAAATAAACTCAAGGTGATACTAGCCTAATGAAGGGGAAATAGGAAAAGTTTGAGGCCAATGGGCAAAAGGTGAATAGGAAGGACACAGCTTCTTCCAAGCCTAAGGTGAGAAATCAAAAGCCTTTTTAAAGCAAAGGAATATTGCTGGTTCTCCTCCTCCAACACTCTTCAGAAGAAATGTTAAAGTGAAGGCTTCTAATAGCAATGTCTGTGATCACAATTTCCAAGGGTGCAGCCCAAGCCCAGAGCAGTGAGGGATGGCAAGCCTAACAAGAGGGGGAAAAAGAGAGCATCTTTTAGCCCAGCCTTTTGCTTTTGCTGCTGACCTCAAAGCAACTCAAAAGGATTGCTCTCTGAAGATGCGCAGTGGCAGGTCAATCTTTCTCAGTGGGCAAGCCAGCTGAAAATCAATGGCTTGTAATTGAGGCCTGCTAGCAAGAAGGCAGGTCAGGGGGAATGCAGAGATGAAAGACTCTTAGATCTGTATGTAATACAATGGCAGGGACTTAAAAAAATAAAATCAAGTAGGAACAAAGAATACAGAAAAAAATTGTGTTCCTTTGCCCTTGTACAATTCTTTTAAGAAAAAGGATGAGAGCATTTGGCATGCCTTATCTATACTCTTTTATCTTGACTTTGTGAATATTGATCACCGAGTGATACTTTTCAGATTTTAATAAAATGCTGGCTGCCCATCAGATTGGCTGTGTCATATGGACAGTATTATTGCTCACCTAGTGATGCTGAGTTACCAAGCTGAGAGGGGAGGAAGGCACTGGCAAGCCCAAATTTTGGCCGGTTACCAAGGTCAGGCAAAAAGTTTGATTGCAGGGCATAAAAAAACCCCAAAACCTGCAGAGCTTTGATGTGATATTGTCAATCCAGATATGGTCAGTGTGACTATGAAAATAGGACTAGCTCATAAGAATGTCAACTATTTTAAAGGAGCTATTTATTTATGTTTCTTGCAGGGATGTCAAAGGGTTCACTGGTTACAAAACTGCCTGGATGGCAGAAATCTGTCTGTAAGCATGAAGTAATACTTTCTGTCAGTTGTGAATGAGCAAATCCTTGAGATATATACTACCTCCATTAAAATTGCACATTGCCCCAAAGAAGGCACTCTGGCTGGTGGGTTGCAGGCAAACAAATTTTTAGGCTCAGAAATCATTTTAAAGCTTTTGGGCACTTGGCATTCACAACCAGCTTGCTGTCTACTCTCAAGAACAGAACAAATGGATCTTGATCTGATTTGCTAAGGGCTGTTCTTATGCTCCTAAAATTCAGTACACACAAATGTTTGACTGGTAAGTGTGTTGGAGGCCACTGATTTTCAGTCTACCTTCTATAACAAAAGCTTTACTGTGTTGCTTATCCTTTAGTTCCCCAACTTTACATTTCCACTGTGCCAAATGAATGCCCCAGTTTTCAGATATCACAGCTCCAAAGCAAGCCTTGTTTAACATTCCTTTCAGAACAAATCTGTAAGGTAAGTGCTGAGTGGTGCTTTCAGATCCGTTCTGATGATGGAGGCAGCCCGAGTAGCTGCGCCAAGTAGCATATAGCATGCTTGCCCTTTCAATGTAAGGTCAGTGGTCCCATCTGCATTTTTCATCATCTCTACTACAAGAAAGGCAGCCTCAGAATTATTCTGTCCAGCAGCCTTCCAAATAACAAAAGCCTGGCAGGTGAGCTTCTTGAACTTCCTGCAATGCAGAGTTCATGTCACATCGTGCTTTCATTTCTTCTATGGCAAACAATATGAAGCTGCATTGCTAACTATAGGGAACTAGTGGGGCTATGAAAGGGAGGGAAAGGTTTTAGTTCAGAGGGACAACACAAGCCTTGCATGTAGAATGTCCTAGTTCAGTTCCTGGCGCCTCCAGGTGGGGCTGGAAGAGATGCCTGCCAAGGACCCTGGAGAATAACTGCAGTCACTGCAGGCTGTATTAAGCTAGACAACACTGCGTTGGAGGGATGGTATGGCCCCTGTGACTCTCCAGCTGTTGTACTCCAACTCCCAGGCATGTTGGGAGTTGTAGTCCTAAACATCTGGAGATTGCCAGGTAGGAGAAGGCTGCAGACAACCAAAAGCCTGGTTCAGACTTCACTGGACTGAGCTTTGAGCATTCTCTCCCTGTTGTTTCCCTTCAGTGCTTTTCTACCCTGAGTTGTAAAATATGATCCTGGTTTGTTAGCAGATCCAAGAATTGGCAAAGCTGGGAGGCAACTGGAAACTCTGGTTTAAACGAGTCAGGATAAAAGCACCAGAGGCCTGCGTGCACAGGCGAGGAGGGAGCCTGCAAGGATACCACACATTCTGGCTTTATCAACCTGAAATCATCATGCCTGAACAACACCAGGATAAAATGCAATTAACTGTTTCTTTCAGGGAAAACAACCTTTTAAAAAGAAGAGTTGGAGAAAATGCCCAGATAGAACTATGCGGCAATCAGAGGTGTGTTTAAAAGATTGTGTCTGAAAAGATTAAGTTGAAATTGAAATAATGTTGCTAATAATGTTGTTAAGAATGTAGTATAATCTATTCCATGACTCAGTTCAGAAAATCTTCCAAAATATAATTCAGATAGCTTAATTCTGGTTTAGTGTGCTGTCTCAATTGAGAAACCATGGTCAGCAAATATGATTCCAATTACTTAAACTGGTCTTGCATATTACAATTTGTGCCAAGAATGGGCAGTATCCAGTGCTACCACGAACGACATTGCATTAGCTTATCCAATGTAGCAAAAATAATTTAAAAAGCAGGATATTACTGCCTTTTCTCATTGTACAAGTTAAAGTGCACAATTGTTGGTTTATCCTGGTGCAACATCATTAGCCCTGGTGCCAAACATTGGAAACTACCTTATAGTTTTGTGGGATGTCTGAATCGGCAAGCCCTGAACACAGAGACCGCTGTACTTCCAGAGTGGAGTGCTGCAAGGACCAAAGCCCAAACCAAACATGGAGCACTAAACCACGTCCTCTTTTGCTGAGCAACTGGAAGTTCAAAGCATACAGTAAGGATGGCACAAATCATGGCTCTGGATCATTGCCTGGAGTTGCTTTTCAGCCATCACAAATGTAAACGACCCCCCTGCCACACACACACCAATCATGTTGAATGTTAATTTTTCAACTGTTTTCTTTTATCATCTGCATATTGCCTCACCTCCCTTGTGGCAAAGTTCTTCCGACTTATTCTCAACTCCATCAACCTCTTGGCACAGAAACAGGGGGGCAGAATTCCCTCATATGAGCAGTTTCTACAAATGAATCAGAAAGAGCGTTCAGGTTTCTAGCTCTAGCACTGCATTGCGATGCATGAATCATTTAGCTGATTAATTCTTTAGTTCATGGCTAAACATGACACCACAGGCAATCTGATGATGTTACTTCATTCGTATTCCACCTTCATTTTGCTTCCTGGTTATCTGCAGGCTTGGTTTAGAGTGCCGACAGTCACTTGGAACTCTAGATGAGGCGAAGGCAGCCAGAACTGGAAGATGGGACGGATGGATGCCCTCCTGCAGCCCCCACCGACCAAATGATGGGAAAGGGGTATGGCCATGTCCCCTGACGTTGGTTGGTCTCCACTTGTGGGCATTGGGAGAATGTGCCTCCTGGCCTACTTGTAGGGAAATGGCTTCTCCCACTGGAGAAGCACAACAAAGTCACTCTTCAACGGTGGAGAGGGCAGGGGCCAGCAAAATATCTGAGCGTGACGCAGAACAAGGCTAGCGGGCTGGATGGGCAACCTCAGTGGTCTGAGATCCAGTTACCCTGGTGAGGCTCCGCCAACATGAACCTTCCTGAAATCATGATCACACTGAGAGGGTCTGCTCACTGTCCCATAATGTAAGAGACAGGACCTTCTTGGTGGTGGCAGCAAATACAAGGAATGCAGGCTTTCTACAGGCTCCTCCACTGCTGGTTTTACGGCATCTTTTAAGTCTCTCTCTTTCAATAGGCCATTTGTGCATGAATTTAAATCTACTGCTTTGAAAAATTACCAGAGGTTCTGCTGATGTCTGCTACAATGTTATTGCTGCCCTGTTAGTTCGTTTAACATTTCATAAGCTTATGCTTTGAAGGATTGTTTTTAAAGAAAAGCAGCATGTATCTATTCCTGACCAGGAGTTGCATTATATAGCATGAGGTTTTCTTTCACAGAATGACAGACTACAAGGAATTTGGATTGAACTTGCCAGATTTTCCATGTTCTGAAGTCAAATTGCATACTCAGAATCATTTAGGACAGTTAGAACTCCAGAATGTGTATACCTGCTTTGCATATTTAAGCACACTGATTAGATCCCCAGGATTCCAGTAAAAAAAAGAAAAGAAAGTATCCCTGGACTAGATAATTCAGTTTTATAACCTTGATTGATTAAAAAGGCAGCCCCTCTTTAGTAAGCAGCAAACTTTTAAAAGATGTTCAATTAATTTAATTTGAGGAGTCATAAAAGGTTGGATGCCTAACACTTTTAAAAACATTAAAGATTTGCAAATCCTATGCCGGTTTACTCAGAAGCATCTCTGAACTTCGTGGAACCTATGTTCAGCTAAGTATATACAAGACTGTAGCTTAAAAAATTGCTTCCAGTTACAATAATCAGAAGCAGCTTGTTTCTACTGCAGCAACATGTTATGGGCTTGGCATTCCTGTCACGATTCCCAATTAATTTTTTTCTGCATGCATTTCAGCTTAATAAGGAACAAGGAGAAGTGTACAAATGCACACTCGGCTCTGATACTTCCAGAATGATTCAATTGTGACAGTGGTTAGAACTCAAAACAGTAATGATGATGTGTTAGAGATCTATTATTGGGCACAGTTATTCCACTAAGCCTCAGAAACAATGAACTCTCTGAGTAAAAAAGCATGGATGAAGACGTCCAAGGAGACAGGTTTCCTGTGCGACAGCAGCAATAGGCAATGAGGCAGAACGAAATCATCAGAAAGTAGGCCACAGTCTGAATTGGTGGACCTGAAGAGCCGCTGATGCAGACTGACGGAGGGGAAGTGGTCTAAGCTTCCAGTTCAGTCTCCTCAAAATGACCCCAACCTCCAAGCACTCCTGGAAGGTAATCAGCGCACTGAACCAGTCACTTCCAAGTCCTAAAGGATAACCTCCACCAAAATGATCCAAGCGGAAGTGGAGGGAGAAAGCTTGAATGGGTGCAGAACTGCTAAGCCCTCAAAGGAAAACATAGCTGAGTGGCAGAACACCATGATTGTGTCCCTGGGTTCTCTGGGGAAAGAATCTTGCTGCATAATGTAGAGAGCTGCTGCCAGTCAGTGCTGACAAAACTGGACTGGACGGGCCATTGATCTGACTCAGTAGAAGACAGCTTCCTATGTCCCTAAGGTGGCAAATAAATATTCAAGATTCCACTGGTCCAGGTCATCCCCCTCCTGCAGTCAGTCAAAGGTTGTGTTTGTGGGATTTCAGTAATTGCTGATAGGATGCTCAGAACATCCTATAATGCATAAGCTACAGCCAACACATGCATGAATGTAAGGTTGTACTCCCAATATTTGTTTGATAGCATCTGCTGCTTCCTACACACATGTAGCATTAATGGGCCACATACCTGAAGGACCACCAGAGAATCAGAAGAGCAAGGACGCAAAGGACAGATGCAAGGCCACAAAGAGGTCCAGTGATTTGTACGGCAGAAAGAAGCCCTGCTCAGACACCTTTCCAGATATTGACACCACTTTGCTTTCAGAAACAGCACACTCAGGGTTCCCTAAGGCCAACAAGGGCTAGAAAACTGCTCTTTTATTTTAAAGAGGAAGCTATGGCTCTCAGGATCCAGTCTGTTTTCTGGCCCAATTCAAAGTGCCAGTTTTTGCTTTTAAATCCCTAAACGACTTGGGACTAGGTTACCCGAAAGGCTGCCTTTTCCCACTCATGCGAAGCTCTTCTTTCGAGGCCTGCTTCTGAGGGCTCTCATCTAATGAAGCAAAGCAGGTAGCCACCAGGGAGTGGCACCCTGGCTGGCCATCTACCCCAAAGCCAGACCCAGCCGATGGCCTTTCCGTCACTCAGTTTTTTGAGCAACTCAAGTAATCTGAGCACTTTAGGTTTAGTTCTGGGAGACACAGTGAGTTTTGTTTTCTTTTTCTGTGTTTACGCAGTTCTTGGTTTTATGAGTGTATGTCTTATTTTGTAATTAAGCTGGTTTGGGACTTATGTTAGCTGCCTAAACAACTTTTATTGTTGGCGTACTAATATTGTTAATCAGATAAACAGTGCTAAGTCAAAAGAAGAGACTGCAGAAATGATAACCAGCCAAGGAACCTTTGCGTTTGTGCCATGCTATGGTTATCTACTCAGAAGTGGAAACCAGTGGTATTTACTCATAGGCAATTGTGTATGAGCTCACATTCAGGACAACTAAAAATGCTAGCTACTAAAGGAAAAGGAACTGCATTATATCTTTCCACGTCCTGAAGTTTAACACTACAGCAAAGCAGTGTCTCTCCTTCCATATTCTTCTTCAAGGCTTTACTTGTCCTTAATGAAGGACAGTTTACATAATGCCAGGGGGACAGATCCACCCCCGCATTGCCTAAAACTTCTGTATGCTCAACGACCAGGTTGCAGGTCAGACTCTATTCTCCATTCAAGAGTGAAGGTAGTTAGCAAACAGATCTACCAAGCTCATATGACCTCACTTTGCTGGCCTTTGAATCACCTCTCTTATGAAACCTGTTATGTTATAAAGCAGGTTCTCACTTTAATATTAATAGCAAAAAGTTTGGAAATGCCACTGAGCCCTAAATGAAGAGCACTGATCCAAGGCCCTGCTTCTCTGGCTTTTAAGTCATCCCTACCAACCAAGACTCATTTCACTCTCAGGCTTGCTTTACTGGAGATGTACCAGTAGGAAAAAAATAGTAATTTAAAATCCAAGACCTGCCCTGCTCAAGGATTAAATGTGTGACAGATAGAAAAATAATCCCTGACCAAAAATGATGGTAAAAACAAGGTCATTGGTAGTTTTAGATCAACACTGCCTTCAATCTGGTTACCCTTTCAGTATCCCAAGTCAGCAGGGCTATCCCAAGCCATCTGGAAGGCACCACAATGGGGAACGCTCCTTATTGCTGTGAAGTCCAGCCTGTCTGGTACCACAAGGCTTGAACAGAGTGGCTCTCCACTCGCATTGGAAGAGGAAACGGAACTGGGGGTTGGTGGTCCCTAGAACCACTTTCCAGCATCTTCTGCATTTGAAAGGACTCCAAAGTCTGAACCTTGTTCTTCTCCCTGCTTTAAATGACCCAGATAAGCTGCATTCCCTCAGTTGTTGCTGAGCTCAATGACCTCACTGTGGTCACAGCCCAGCAGCAAGCCTGGCTCAGGCACAGGTGAGCTGGCCGAGTCTGCCGTACCACCAAAAGCCAAGCTGGGAACCTGTGGATGCTTCCCCAAACCCACAGAGTTCAATTTGTCTTCCACTGTAGCGTGGGAAGTATCCCAGACAGGAGGCCACGGAAATGAGGAGGAAGAGGAATAATGCCAGGTGGGTGGCTGCAAAAGCACAGGTGTTGATCCACTTTCAGCCCAAGGGACAAATTCCATTTCAGAGAAGCTCCTGGGGTCTGTGTTCCAGTGGCAGGTGGGGCTGAAGGGCCGAACTAAAATATCACAACACCTGCATGTTTAACCTGAAATCTTTCATTAGCAGAAACTAAGCCTTTGGAGAGGAATTTCAACATTTTAGAATGGAGAAGACCTCACCTCAAGGCCAGGAAAGCACTCCATGACTGATGGTTGGGAGAAAAAGTGGAGAGAGAGGATGGCTATTTAGGGAGCCTCAAAAGGTATGATTGGGACCCAGGGCTAAGCCCTCAAGCCCTGAGTTAAAGATTCATACTCTCCAGGCATGCGGAGATGGAGCTTAGGAGGGTTAATCTAGATGGAGGGACTCAGGTCTCAGTTTAGGGCCAGCTGTTCTTGGATGAAGTTCTTTTATTGGTGCTGGGACTACCTTATTGGGCTCCTTGTCAAGATCCAGCCTTCTGCGCCCGTGGCCCACTGGCCACCTGACATCAGCCTGCTGTAGGTTCTTGCCTACTTTCGTACCCGAGCATCTGACAACTTGGTCTGCACAAGTTAGACTTTTGCAGCATGTCCCAAATGGATGACAGCACATGTTGGACATCTGTAACCAAAGCAAGCTGCAAAAGCCACAGCTCCCGCAAGGGAAAGGAAAGAACTGGCAGTCTCTGAGCTCATTGTCTAGTACACAG